CTTTTCATCAAAGCGAGGACATTATCACACTCCCACAGATGCAGGCGCAGACACATCAACATTATCGCACTCTCTCACACAGACAGACAATTACACCTTCCCTTCAAGTGACGTACTCCACTCCTGACCCGTGCTGCTTTAACGTGCTGTGATGGTTGGCAGAGTTGTACAGAGTCACTTTAAGTGTTTGTGAAAGTCTTGACAGCGAAAGGCCAGATGAGGAATATAAATTATTGATGATCTGCTTTATATATTTTCCCACTGACGTTATACACACTTTTAAACATTTCCCACACCAACCTGTTTATGGTGCTTAAACCTATACACAGAAATAGGCTATAGCATGTTTTGTTTGCAGTTTTATAAAACATTTCTAATCTCTCTGACTCTTCCTGCATCTGCCCAAACTACAAGGTCAGTTGGCTTTTCAGTTTTTTATCGGTTGGAGGCATGCCAAACAGTACGGTGAATACAGCAGGAACCGAGATAATCCCACTGTTGTGGGCGAAAAAGCAGACATTACTAAAGCTATGCTTTTAAATGTGCTCCAAACGAGTGTTTTTAATAGATTTGATAATAGGGATGGCTTTTCACGTGAATTAAGTAGATGATGATCTACATTTGTTTTTTTCCCGCTTGTTTTGCAAAGTTATAGGTAGTAAGCAAAGATGACTGCGCTCCTGTCAGCAGGGATAACATCTGACTCAGTATCTTGTCGGCCTGATTGGCGATACAGTATCCTTCTGTCAACTTTCTGGCTGATGAAGCAATCATATTGGGAGGCAAGGTATCAGGTTTTAAATCGAAAGAACTATACACACTTTAAGTTTAGCATGCTTTGCTGACATGCCAAATGTTTAATTTATTTCTTGTCAAAAGCTCTTAACATTTGTAATACACTCTGTATAAAATAATATTACACCACCAACATTTATATTCACTCCATTTCCCCTTTTAACCTTCCCCCTAAGGGTAAAACCAGCAATTCCCAAAACTACTCCTGTATTTCTAGTCATTATTTTTCAACCTGAATCTTCTGCCATAACTGTGTGTGCTGGTGCACATCTCTGCAGCAAGATAAACACACTTCCTCACAATATCGTCATCATTACTTAACATATAAAAACAGATAACGTCACAATCACATGTTATGATCACCAGTATCAATTATTTAAACTCTGTTTGTGAAAAAAATGGTAGTGTGCATCATCTTGGCATGGTGGACGTCTATAAATGCTGCAATAGCCATGAGCCCTGGCTGCTATCTCTGGAGAAGGAGCCAGTCAGAGGCCCAAATCACAGTGGTAGCTAATTAATAACGCTAACGTTGTTAGAGTTGTAAACAAAATGCGCCGCCAATGTTTCTGAATACTGAAATTGACCCAGAAATGAAAAGTGAACTAATTTATGATTCAGATTGTTAAATCAGCTTTCTCAATAGCAACATTTCTAGCTCACGCCCGATTTTACGCAGCTTGTGACGGAATTCAAAGCTTGGTGATTGGATGTTTCTTACCAAAGTGCACCTTGGGAGTTGTAGTTGGCTTAATTCCTATGTGCACCAGCTAGAACATTAAGCTTTTTAATCAAAGAACCAGATATTTTTGTTCTAATGCAGCAGTTCATTTTTTAATAACTTTTACTTAAAACTAAACAGTTGGCCCAACAGTATAATAACATTTAGCTACATTAAATGCTGCATTAGCATTAGACAGCTTGTGTAATGGCTAGCTTGATTAGCAGTAAACCGATTGCCGAAAAAATGAAAGTATCAAACTACAAATAAATATTTATAATAAAAGAAAATATACAGATAATTCCCCAACAAGGATATTTGCAGAGTATGAAACAGAAACTGTTGAAGGGTTTAATGAATACTTCCTATTCAATTTTAACATGTACACGCTCCACAAAGACAGTACGTTTTTCAGGGTATTGAATTCTTTTACATTGTAAAGGAATTCTGTGACTATGATCACCTCTTATGAAGGTTACTTGGAGCGAGTCAATCTTAAATCAAGCTTTTTTTCAACTATACCTACTCTTTCAATCCAGGTCCACACTGAAGGCTTTCTGACAGCAAGGCTCTGAATACAGCAGCAGGAGGACTCACCGAGCCCTGAATGTGCCAACATTTCGGAAGATGTGAGACCCGAGTGATCGACACAAAGAACACATTTTTTTTTTTTAACTATTGATGAAGGACCTTCGGTTAACAGATATATGGAGGCTGGTCAACCCAAAGGAAGTGAGAATAGAATGAATATTCCCTCATTCACAAATCTCACTCCAGGATAGATTATTTTTTGATTAGCAAGGATCTGGTGGAGAGTGTCTCAGACTGCTCAATAGGAACCATAGCATTGACTGATCATACCAAGATTAGCAGAGCCAGACAGAGTAAAGACAAATAGACGGAGGACCCAGGATTTAGCAGTTCAATGGTAGAGGAACATGACAATTTATTTCTGTGGAACAATGGTTCAACAGATACAGTTGGAACAGTATGGGAGGCGTCTAAAGCTTATATAAGGGGGGAAATCATAGCTTATTCTAGTAGGAAAAAGAGCAAATTAAGATATTAAGGGATCTGGAATTTCAGCCTAAAGAATTAGAAAATATATTGTCCGAGAATGTTAAATAAAAGCAGCGGAGTTAAAAGTATTTGTAGTAAAGTAGAAGTATGAAGTAGCATAAAATCTGCTTAAGTACAAGTACATGAGTAAAGAAGTTTGTTGCTTAAGAGTGCATGGTTGAATATCGTGGAAAAGTAAAAGCCAAAGACCACATAACTGAAAATAAGATAAGCTAGATCTATATTGACAGAAAGAAATACAGATAGAAACTATACAAGAGCATTTGGAGCATCTGTGCTTTTTCTTCTGAAACTTGTGTCTGCTACTGGAAACGATGCTGAAAGCCGTGATAGTAAATCAAAACAATGACGCTGCAGACAATAAAAACCAAAACAATGAGCTGAAAAATGCTGAAATGTCTTTGAAGCCGAGGAGATCTGCAGATTCAGGTAATAAGTATCTGTATCATATCTGTAAGAGCAGCCTGGTCTCCTACAAATTATGTTCCCACACAACGTTTCAAGGGAAACATATTTGTTTTTTGCTACAGCCAATTGAGCTACAGCGCTCTCATTTCACCCAGTGATTCATTCTTTCTCTCAAACTAAAAAGGTCTAACCTTGTTAACAGTATTATTAATCATATTTTGTCTTGTGATACATTACCTGTTTCCTGGATATTTCAGTTTAATATCTTTAAAAGGTTAGAGTTAGATGTAGTATGCAAATGTAGCTTAAAGGGTTATGTCAAGTCATGTTATGTTGTAACACCAGCTGTAATTGCTTTTCTTTGGCTGATTGAGCAGCGCAGCAAGCTGTGAACACTGAATTTAATCAATTTATATAGTTAATATGAGGAATATATTACAGTGGCTATTTTAAACATCAAGATATGATGCAACATCAGGGTTAGTTCCCCCAAAATCAATACAAGTCCGACATGAACAATCTTTTTTTCGATTTGCGAAAAAGGAGAGTCTTAAGCTCTTAAATTGCTAAATGCTCAATGAGTTCACCAGCTAGTTGCTAACTTTGTCGCCCGTTTGATGCTGGACAGGTGGTGCACAGTGTGATTTTACAGCTTTTGGTTACTGGTAATGATGCTGATGAGAGCCATGAGAGTAAATCACAAACACTGAAGTTGCAGCTACAAAACAATGAGCCGATAATAAAAGATGAGGAGAACTGCAGATTTGGGTAATAAAAATCCTAAGGGTTAGAAAGATCCCTTTCACATTACACACAGATTTTCTTCTCATTGCTAATATATAAATATGAATTAAGGTGTGTCACAGAGGGACAGATCCTGAGGATTTCATTGCAACATGTAAGTCGACAGTAGAGGTCAGAGATCACTTACGTTGTACATTTTAAAATATGAGGACATTGCTGTTTGCTCGTGTTTTGTTCATAAAGGTTTAGTCTATCACATTCCCAGTTCTTGCCAGTGTTGACTGCTAGGGTTAGCAGGGACAGCTGAGCTGCAGCAGCTGATTTCATCCAATGATTCATTCTTCTCCACCATTTCGTTTCAACAACGAACTTGCTGACATTCAGTGTTATCTGCTGCGGGGAAAGCTTTGATCAGGAAAGCAAGGAGTTTAACTTGGAGAGTGTAACATGGGTTAATATTCAAATATTCATGCCACAGGTTACATCCATGGATGATAAAAGGACTACATGAACTGTTAGCTTCTGTTCCCTCTGTGCGTGCGAGCGTCACTACAGCTTTGTCTGCTGCTGGAGGTAAGAACTTTGTTTAGTCAGACAGACAATACCAAGCTACACGTCTAATAACAAGTTATTAGCCAGCAATGTATAACTTTTCTTTCTGTTAATATAACAGTGAAATGCTTCCAATGTCAAAAAGACTGCATAGAGGACCAGCCCTTTGCTGGACCGAAGCTGACATCAGATCACAAACCTTCCTGCAGGGGGACTCAATTGAGCCTGGGGAACGGAAGGAAGTCAGAGGAATTTACAACTGTCATTTATTATAATTTGACAGCTGTTTTATGAGCTGAATTTGTTTCAGCACAGGAGTCATGAATAATTATCTCCTCCTCAAGATAAATTCAGGAAATCAGTCATGCATGAGCCTGTTTTCACAAACTGGGGAACAGCAGAGGTGAGGAAGCGTCAATAACAGGATCCTTTGTAAGTGTTACCTGTTATATGTGGGGTATAAAAGGGTATATTTTTTGTTGACAATAACATAATTGACACAATATCCATTTGAGTCATGCAGCTGCAGTGTTGGTGTACTTACATAATACATTTTTGGATTTATTCAGTATCTATACTGAATAAGTACAATTCATTAGATGGGCTGTAGGTGAAATGGGGAGACTAAAGAACATCAGAAATAGCAGTCTTTTAGATTGATCTTTACCAACATAACTGAACAGCTTTGAGAACAACTCACCAGCATGTAGAAAAGTACAGCTGCTGCCAATTCCTGGTACTGAGGCATAAGCAATGAAGGTATTCACACTGTGCAAAAAAAAACACACTGGATTTCAGAGGTACGAGTGCAACCAGAGTTACTAACAAGACGGAACCACAAGTGAACATCATGCATCGAAAATATGGACCATGATCTTGTCATTTATTTATTTTCACCAGGCCGTAGTGTGCCCTTACAGTACCCAGATGCACAAATGTTATATTTATACTGCCTGTGCCAGCAAGCACCTCTGAGCCTATTCAACTATGGGTGCAGGTTGGGTCGAGTAAGCTTTGTGGGTGCAGGCATTAATGGGTTTGCAAAACTGGATCTGCAAAGAACTTTCGGGCAAATTAGAATATTTAAAAACTGATCCATGAGCATGCAGCATGAAGAGGGCCTCTGTTAGGGTTACTCTGTATACACATTAGTAGTTTATCATATATATGTTTTTATGTCCGCTGGGACATGTTGCCTCGTATGGAACAAATATCTTTAGTGGTATTAACCAAACTTAAAGGTTCTCTTTACCATACTCAGAGCATTAATAAAGCAACAAACAACTATTTGTAACATCAAGATATAGAGGAGTAACTTCATCCTGAGCAGAGATCGAGATCAATGTCGCTTTTTCTCTGTGTGTGTGCGTGTGCGTGTTGTACTCCGAGCTTCTTTGTGCTTTCTTTACATAGCCAGTGCATGTAAGTGCATGTGAGCGTGCCCCCCAAAGGCTAGCTCATTACAGCTCATAACGCTGTTGGAAGTGTAGCGCCCAACTTGCTGTTCCCCCTCAGGTTAACACCATTAGCTCTGTCAGCACTGTTGTTGTTTGTGCTGTTAGCACCATTAACTGGGAGCCGACTCTCCAACACTGCCGACAGGACTTGCGTCAGTCATGCAAATGCCTTGTTAATACAGACATTTTGACACAACAACACAACAATCTCATAATGGGAACTAAAGGGGAAACAATGCAGCCACATCAAGACAAGCCCCCCACGCTGAGTCTCACTCCCTGGGTTTCCTGCACCTCGACAATCCTGGCATATCATCAGACCCGATTCGATCATATGCTCAATTTCATCCCTCCATCATTAATGCTCAGTCCCTGGTGCTCATTTATCTTCCCCCCCCCCAACCTTACCTGCTGTTCCAACAAACTAACTGGCTTACTTAAAAATGCTATTTAAGCAGAAATAACATACTAACTCTTGTTTTATGCCTACATTCTCTGTGTAACAATAACCACTATAGACAGGGACCAGAATCAATTGATAGAATATAACGGAACTGTTGCTGGCGTGAGTGGTATAGATATGTCATTTTAAAACCATAGTATACTCACTAAATATAATGTTACCTTTTAAAAATTTGGACAAGAAAGATAAAATACATGTTTGCTTAGTCTTCCAGATCATTCATAATGCTGCTCCTCCTCCGAGTTACTTTGTTACACTCCGCTCAGAAATAACAACACGAGTCACAAAGTCAACCCCTCGGGGGGAGAGTAGACCTTCAAAACGCAAGACCTCTCTTGGCATCCCTCTCTTTTATGGCCATTAAACATAGGAAATGTCTCCCGACAGAACTAATGACTACAAATCTACAAATGCATTTTGTAGATTTGCTGTAGGCATGAAGTGAAACAGCACATGGTCATAAACGTTTGTTCTAGAAACAATGAATTACCACAGTTCTCCTCATCTGCTTGATTTCCACAGTCATCGATGCCGTTGCAATGCAGGACCTGAGGGAGGCACATCGTCAGGTTGCCACAGGGGAAATATCCAAGGGGGCACGCCGCCTTCTCCTCTGTGATATTGAGTGCTATAAACAAAGCAGAAAATCCAAGCATATGATTATGAATGTAACATTTGTGCCACGGGTCTTTATTAGAGACACATTGAGAGCCCTTGAGAGATATGAGTTAAAGTTACTGTGAGAAACTTTTCACTGGTTATGAATCAGTGTCAATTTAAGACTGATGCCTCTGTATGACCTACATAAGTAAACCCGACCATCAGCGAGAAGATTGGCTATTTCTACATAGTAATTCTTTGGTGCCACCGGGTCAGATTACACGCAAATTCAGATGAAATCATGCCGGTTCACCAGATAGCCCTTCAGCTTAGACCCCAGCAAGGCCTCCAGCAGAAACCAGCCCACAGCTGACAGACCCACATCCGGCTTCGCTGCTGCTTTCAACATGCAGTTGGAAGCTCCGGCAGGAGAAGGAGAGCTCAGTTCCCAGCAGCAGCATCTCCTCCTCCGGCCAGGAGCAGGGCTTTACTTCGCTGCTCCACTGGTCACTCTGTCAGACCCTGCAGCAGTAAAATAAGACGTGTTCTAAACAGACTCATGAGGAGTTTCTGCATCTCATTAAGGAAGCTTTTGTATCCATTTGTCTAAACCCACATCAAAGGTTTTAATCACAGAGAGCTGTTCTTTGTACTATTCATGAGTCAATGCTTCTTTTGAAAGGTGCATGACAGGAAATTGGGAGGGTTTTGATTGCCTCTCAACGGCCCTCAACATGGTGAGACAAGGCCCTTCAAAGTCAATAAAAGAACATAGAAGCTCAGATAGCAACAGACAGAGGGAGAGCAACTGCATTCTCTGCTCAGGTAGACATTACTCCACTATATCTTTTCCATAAACAAACAATACAGACTGACATACAGTATATTGTGAATGTAAAACATACTTCATATGCCATGAAGCTGGAAGAGGAAATTAATCATTCCCTCATCTCACCCATGTCTTGATTATTAACATTCTTTATTCATGCGCCATAGTGTATCTGCCTCATCGTGCCTGTGGTTCAAAACACAGGACACAGGGCAACAACAAGCCAGCTGCAGATTATACATATTCCAACTATCTGGCATCTCCACTCTGGAACCAATTAAGAAGGGAATATAATTTATGATTCACCTCATTATCTACTTGGCACTTGAGTCCATGCTAAAATATTGATTCATCATGTCATTATGTCTCAACAAGACCTCTCACATGTTCTCACCTGTTGTCCGTAATTAGGAACTAAAGGTTACCGATGTCTTAAGCCGCGGTTATGAAGTTGCGGCAGTTCATTGGCAATCTGCAGTCCTGAACAGTCAGGTTGCCAAACGCTCTCCATGGTACAGCGATACAAGTTCCCTAGAGTTTTGGTGCTCATACCAAAACTTCTTGAGACGCCTAAAGAAAGTACAGTATCTGTTGTGCTTTCTTGAGAACGGGTCGCACCTTTTAACATTTGTCACAAAACTCAGAATTTATCTGTAAAATAATAAGACTACTCTGATTGCTATACTCTCAGACTATTTCTTCTTATAAAGGATACTATGCTGAATTACAGCACAAGAGATCTTAGCTTTGCTTTAGACATGCATCATATTTACAATGGTGATGTCACAGTTAAGTGCAGAGACTTAACTGTGAAGCTCCCACCTGACAGTAGGCTTACTAATGAACGGCACCACGACAACTCTGTTTCCACGCCAGATGGAAAGCATATTTTAAGAGGTCTATTTTCTGAAACAAAAGGAAAAGAAATCACCATTTCCTGGAGTACACACTTGTTAATTATGAACAAATATGAAACGTGTGGGATTCATGAAGCCTGCCACTACATCCACACGCAAAATTATTTCAGTCTAAGACACTTCATCGCAGCAGATGGCTGTTCTGCTTCACATAATACACAAGCACAAGGAAAGAGTTGATATTTTTATGACTAGGGGAGAAAAGAAGAAAAAAACAACAGCTATGACAAAAATATGTCGTCATTAAAAAATATGTGCAAATACGTAGCCTGCAAGAAATTCAATTCAATGAAATCATATTGTGATTAAAACGTATATATTAAGATATAGTGAAACAGAATTATGTATTATAAATTGATAATATGCTAACTAAAATTTTCAAAGAAAATCTGATTATTTTGCAGCAAAGATCTTAAATAAATGAGAAAACACACAGCTCTTTTATTTTTTCAAGCATTTAATTGACACAATATATAAAACCATGGGATTATTTCATATAGACTATTTATGTATCGTGTTATCAGAAAACATGCTATATCGTGATAGATATCGTTATTGAGATATAAAATGAGCTATATTGGGATAGAAGGTTTTGGTCATGTCTCCCAGACTTACTGTAGTTAAGGGTGACAGAGGAGACCATAATGATAAGACTAGAAAGGACAAAGGAGGTCTTGGATCACTGTGCAGCAGTTGGCATTTAACTTCCCCCGTTTCTCAGCATGATAAAGAAAATATATCACAAATGAAAAAAACGTACTACAGGTGCAGTACGGATTATATAAAGGTGTAACATATTCTAATAACGTCTTATGTCATCTATATTTCTTTAGTGATACTGTGTTATTATGCAGAGTATTCCCATACAGCACAGGTACTGCAGACATTTGTAGCACTGCAGTTCAAATACCAATATTGTTATAGTTGCATGCAAGGTCAACACAGAAATATTCAGTCCACCTGAGACAACGCAAGTGTTGTTTACATTTCGAATAAGCCGCTGAACTTAAAAGGGTATATTTGCTCTGTTTAAGGGCTATCACACACCATGCTGACATTTGGCTGACGGTTGCTGTTGGGCCACCGGCTTCATGTTTCAGTTCCTTTACTGTTGGGTCTATGCTGATGACTAGTGCCGACAAAGACACCTCATCAAATGCTTTGCATCTTCAGTTAAAGGTTGCACACAAACACACGACAGCTGATGGCCAGCTAACTGCCAACAAGCATGTAGGCTGTGTGCACGCGCAAGAGGAAATATCAACTCATTTGTATTCATAATCATAAAAAAAAACATAATTGAAAAAGACAAAAAAAAAACTAAAGAAGTACACTTCATTGTTTTCGTGGGAAAACTTTATTTTGCCCTCATTTCACTGAAAAACAGCCATAATTATTCTCTATTTTTTTCCACCACTGGTTATCTATCTTGCTTAGAATATGAAGTAAGAAGCCGTTTTGATAAGATGCGTTTGTGGGCACTTCTTCATATACATTTACACTCTATGTACAATGTTGTCCTCCTATACTGTACTTTTATTATGCTGGTCATTCTGTACAGATGCCATCTATTGTCTGCATGTCTGTCCGTACAGGATGAAGGTTCCCTCCTCAGTTGCTCTTCATGAGGTTTTCCACACTAAATGGATGGAAACAATGATTCGCTTCAGTGGCCACTCAGATAACTCGGTCTCACCGACTGCCTCTGCTACCGATTCAGTAGGCTGAGTCTAACAAACAGAAGCTGAAATGGACCGACTAGAGCCAGCAGTGACAGGTGCATCACAAAAAACCACAGGCTCAACAGCCCCTTATGGCAGGCTAGCTGTGAGTCGGGATCCGAGAGATCTTTAGGGCATTGCTCTGTGAGCTTCTGGAGCGTTGCCTATCATCTGTTGACTGCGACAATGTAAAAGATAGAATCTTAATTGTTCGCTGCAGGAGATCAATTTCTCACAAGGTGACACACAGTGTAGCCCGTCACGACTTTCATTCATTGCTTTTTTTTCTCCACAGGTCTTGGGTGCATGGTTCAGGCTAGAATGCAAGCAGTTATGCAGCAGATTCCTGCCTCGACCACCAGAGCCTTACAGTATCATGAGTGCATAAGCAGCATGCACCTCAATGCACAAAGCACAACTGGTCTGCAGCCAAACAAAATAATGCAATTATTGCTTCAGATTAGAGCACATATCTTCAAATTCACCCCAAAGAAAAAATCTCGTTAATAGTGACTCCATCTTTGCTCAGGATTTGAAACTATATCCTTCATAGCATATCTTATGGAGTTAACTGACGTGCTTTATAAAACCAAATCCACACAGTGGATTAAAGCTCCTATGCTCTGTGAAATAAAAGCATTATTTTGACCTGAACGGCTCTTGGTGAGGAGTTCTGACCCAGCAAATAATTGCTGAGCAAATAATGGCTGGGATTACTGTAAGTTCTATTTCAGTGTGGGCTTCACACAGACCTGCAACCCTGCCCTTGACAGAGGATGCGCGCAGCACTACTGGACAGCGACTGATGACAGCTCACTTAATTACCTGTTACAGTGTGATGGATGCACTGCTCAGAAATATACTACAGACAAAACGAGAGCCCCTGCACTAACTCACATAAAATAGAGGGGATAAAAACACAAAGATCTCATTTTGCTCCACATGAACTCCACATTAGTTTAAGAAAACCCAACAAAAAAAAACCCATTTATCTCTCAATCTTAAAATAAATCTCTCGTAATCTCCCACGCTTTCTTTTAGTTATCGGGACATATATCATTTTAAGTCGCTCGGATAACCCGCAAGGCTTCTTTGAAACCAATTGTTCAACACATTGTGAGCAACCAGAGCAGACAGCGCAGATTGTCCGCGTTGGCTTTTTAAAAAGGCAGAGATTGAAGCTTCAACGAGTTCTAAATTCGTCAACAAGAGACATTGCTGAACTTACCCGACACTCCATAAGCGAGTACCACAGCCACATAAACCTGCATGGTCCCTCTTGAAGTTTTTGTGAAGATCAAGAGGTTGTTGTGGTGGTGGTGGTGGAAAAGACGGAGACGCGATGTCCTGAGCTGATCGTCCAAAATTGGGAACCTGCGCGTAAAAATAAAAAAGTTTTCCGTTGTGTG